CAGACAAGGCTGTTGCTAAGTACCATCAAGTAGGTTTTGATTCATAGTGATCCTAATAGGGTTTCCAAGAAGTGGCAGGTGGGCTTGAACCACCAAACTTGTGGTTCTCAGTACAGTGCTTATCCTACAGCGCCAAGTGAGGAGTCCAGCTAGATGACAGATAATGATGATAAATAGATGATAGATGGTAAATGGATGATGAATGGATGGATGGATGAACAGATAGGTAGACAGATAGATAATTTGATAGCTAGGCACAGATAGTTGCCATTGAATTGACTCTAACCCATGGCAACCTTATGTACAACAGAACAGAACATCACCCAGTCTTGCATCATCCTCAAAATCACTGCCATGTTTAAATCCATTTTGTGCCTACTATGCCAATCCATCTCCCTGAGGGTCTCACCCTTGCATGTTCTTTACTTCATCACATATGACGTCCTCTGTTCTCCTCCAGAGACTGACCCCTTCTCATGACGTATCCAAAGCAAACACGTTGAATGTTTTGTTGTGAACCGTAAGGTTTCCATTGGCTAATTTTCAGAATGCCATTAACAGATCTTTAAAAAGTAATTTTATTTTTAACTTTTCATTGTGAACTGGCTTTTCATTGTGACAGAGCAGATCAGTATTCCATTAAACAATTCATACATATTTTGTTTCACCTCATTAATTGCAATCCCCACAAGGACACATCTCTCATCCCACTTCCTCCCTGTGCTTCCTGTTTCCATTCCTCCTTCTTTCTTTTTTTAATGTTTTATTGTGAATTATGTGACAGTTTACATGGGAGAACATTAGTTTTACATTCATCCTATCATATATTTCATTGCCATGATTACAATCCCCTCCATGCATCATCACCCAACCAAAGGGTATACACTACAAGCCTGCCCCCCGGCCGTCAGCACACAGCCCCTCTCCCTCTCTGGGTCTAAAGTCCTCAGTTGCTCCATCTCTCCACGTCATCGTCTCTGCCTCCATCTCAGGCATCACTGCTTCTCTGGGTAGGGCCCCACTCTCTGCTCTTCTCCCTTGATGGTCCCAGGGACCTCTGCTCCTAGACTGAAAAGTTAATCATTCCCTTCCTTGCTACAAAATGTCTACCTTGACATTTCCAATCCTCCTTCTTTCTTAACCCTTCTGAACTTTGTCAGTTGTAAAGTGACAGATACTGGTGTAAATGCTGCCATTTTGATCTCAAATGGTTGACCATGTCCAGCCTTATTTCTTAGTCTGTCTTAGCCTGGCAGCTCTGCTGACAATTGTCCACTATGGGGGACTCTGCTGGTATCTGAAATACCAGTGACACAGCTTCAAGCATCATAACCACACACAAGCCACCACAGTAAGACAAACCGACAGATGGCTGTGGGGTGCAGCCCACATAAGAACACAGATACATGAATTCATTCATATTCTCTCTCTCTCAGACACATACGCACAGTCACGAAGTAACAGTGACACACAGGCATACACAATGAGTCACCCAATATACCCACACACCTTGAAGAAACCCCACAGATGAATCAACACACAGAGCTCTGGTGCCTACCAAGGCGAGGTCTTTATGGTAAATATGAACATCAGTGGATTTCAGAGCCAGCCATGGCTGGTCCTGTCCCTTCCCCTTCCTCCCCCAGCACAGTTCCCACCATTGAAGGTCAGGATCATCCCCTGAGGAAGGGAGAGGTCAGGCCCTTCATCCATTATAGCACCAATCTGGATGGGTCACTCCCTGGTTAAACAGAGTGGGCAGTGCCTTCCAAAAATGGGGTGTATCCGACGGAGAGAGGGAGGCCTTTTCCTGTGGGAGAGACGCCAGGAGGAGTAGCACCAGTGTAGAAAGGGGGTTGGGGGCAAGGAGGATACACAGGTGGTGGTGTAGAGCCAAGTGCTGGTCTCTGTCCCCACACTGCAGTATGCAGACAGGGTTGTGTGTGTGCCTATGCAGCGGCTGGCGAAGTCTCTGGACTTTGAACCCCAAAAGGAGGCCATCGAGCCCCAGGTCTCCCAGACATCTGGGTAAAAGTAAAGGTGAGTGTCATGTCTGGAGGACTGGGTGAGGGGGCTCTAGGGTAGAGACATAAAGTTGAGAAAAGAGCAGATCAGATATGAAGTCCTAAGCAGAAGTTAGGGATCTGAGAAGGGAAGACATGAGACTGCGTGAGGGAAGAAATTGGACACAGTTAAATGGGATGGTGTTATGGTAAGATTGTGTCTTGCTGCTGTTAAGTGCCACTGAGTTGATTTCAACCCATAGCCACCCTGTATAGGGTTTCCAAGGAGGGATTGGTGAGCTTGAACCGCCGACCAAACTGACTTTGCAGTCCAGGACATTAATCCACAGCACCACACCAGGACTCCTTGAATTGTATCATAATCCTGACAAAATATGTGTTGTCAATCCTAACCTCTAGGCCTGTGGTTATAATCCCCTAGGGGAATGGGTTGTCTTTGTTATGTTAATGAGGCAGGATTAGTGTAGGGTTTCTTCTGAGATATAAAAGAGATGAAATAAACAAATTAGGAAGCAGAGGTGGAGGACTAAAGATGTCAAGTAACATGATGATGAACAAGACAAGGACTTTCCTCCAGGGTCGGCAAGGAGAGAAAGCCTTCCCCTAAATCCGGCACCCCAAATTCAGACTTCTAGCCTTCTAAACAATGAGAAAATAAATTTCTGCTTCTTGTGGCAGTGTTGGATAAGCACTGGCGTGCTAACCACAAGATCAGCAATTCAAACTCCCCAGCGGCTCCTTGGAAACCCTAAACAGGGTCACTATGAGTCGGAACCGACTCAATGGCACTTAACAACAACAAAGCTACCCACTTGTGGTATCTCTGCTATGTTGTTGTTGTTAAGTACCATTCAAGATGGTTCCCACTTATACTGTATAAGGTTTCCGAGGAATGGCTGGTGGGTTTGAACTGCAGACCTTGTTGTTCAAACCAACCTTGCAATCTAGTGCATTATCCTGAAGCACTACACTAAATAGCTAAGACTGACTGGAAGTCCAGAATACAATTTGGAGGGTGAGGTCTGGAATCAAGAAGTTAGAGGTTCTAAGGTTTGAAACCAGAGTTTATAGGCCAAGGTTTAGCATCTCTAATTAGAAGCATTTGGAAGTCAAGTTCTAGAACCACTAGAATTTAGATCTCAAAGCAGAGGATGATGAGACTGTGAGGCCTAGAAACAGAGCAATTTATAGAGTAAGTACTAGAATTAGAAAAAGTTTAAAGACCAAGCATTAGAACCAGACACTGTTTGGAGTCAAAATACAAGTGGAAATTGTCAGGACTCAAATGACAGAAGTTTATAAGGTGGAGATCTAAAATCCAAAGATGCTGAAAGGCTGAATTCTTGAACAAGAGTAATTTGGAGTCATAGGATCTGGAATGAGGGAGTTATGGTTTGTTATAGGATATAGTCTTGAATCAGAAGACACAAGTGGCTGAGTTCTACAACTAAAGAAATGGGAGATCACCAGATATGGAATCAGAGAGAGTTGGAGGTTGTAAGATGTAGAGGGTGGGTAGTCTAGAACCAGTGAATGGTGGTCATGAGGTTTGTTTTTGCTGTTATTATTGTTTGTTTGATGCTGTTGAGCCAGTTCCGACTCATAGCGACCCAATGTATAACACTGCCTGTTCCTGCGCCATTCCCAGGAACCAAAGAAAACCAGAGCATGATGTCTGATTCTGGAAGAACTATTTATAAGATTCATACTTAAGACTCACTTTGTTGTTAAGTGCCATTGAGTCAGTTCTGACTCATAGCGACCCTGTAAACTGCCAACCTTGAATTGACCTTGCAGTTCAAGAAAAAGCAAGTTTTGACTATAGAGTTGAAGAAGAATGCGCTGGGTATCATATTTAGAACCAAAATATTTACAAATTAAGTCTAGATTTGGAACCAGATTTCTCAAATCAACAGGAAGCTTGGGATTATGGGATACAGAAGTAGTGGAAACCAGAGCTCATAAGACCTGAAATCAGAGCAGGGGGGTTGTGAGATCTAGAACTAGAGGAATTTCTAGAAACAGAGGCCGTCAGAGAATGATATTTAGAATGTGAGAAATCTGGTTGTCATTGGTTCTGGAACCAGAAGGGATTGGAGGTTGTGAGACCTAGAACCAGACAATTCTGAAGATCATTGGAAGGTATGAGGTCTAGAACAAGAAAGCGCTGGAGAAGCAGATCTGGAATCAGAGGGGTTTGGAGGGTGAGAGGTCTAAAGTGAACAGTCTAGAAACAGGGAAGGCTGGAGGCTGGGTGGTGTGGAAGCAGCAGGAGTTGGAGGTTTCACCTGGCACAGGAAGACTATGAATGAAGTCAATATCCAGGTGAGGCCACGGACAACTGAATGTTCAGAATGGGGAGGCAGGGAAAGCCGAGTTGATGTAGCACTGGAGTCTGAGGACTCAATCAGAAGTGGCTCAGGCTAAGTCCTGGTCCAGACACAACCCCCACTGGCACCTGAGGAGGGAGAAAGATGAGGGTCCCCCATTCTTATGACCCCCAGCAATTCATAGCAATTAAAAGCCATAGAAAAACCCCACAACAATAATTATAATACAAGAAAGATGGAGTGAAAGAAACATTATTATGGTGATCAATACCTACCCCAGAGCCCAGAAACACAGATCTGCCCCTCAATCTTCTAGCTTCTCCCCAAATAAAGCCAAGAGAGTCTGAGAAAAGGATAATGAGGTAACCAAAAATCAAGAACCCCCAAGGGAAGTCCTGAGAGAATGAGGAGGAAGAGGCCAGGGGGCCCCCTCTCAGAGGTCACTGAGCTGAGATCACCCCAAACAGCCCCCAGATGGGGGCCAGAGGAGTGGAGGGTCTGAGGTAGGCCCGAGGTGGGCAGGAGCACTCAGAGGAGAGAGGGAACCCCTCTCCTGGCACCCTGATCCTGTATGTTGGTTGCCAGCTTGGAGTGTGAGTGGTGAAGTCCTATCTTGGGGAACAGAGGAGGGGGAAATGAGGCTGGGTCAGTTGACTTTGGCCAAGCCTGCTGCCGGCGGGAAGTGGCTCCTGGGCTGGGCAGTGTCCTCATTTGAGTAGAGAGAGAGCAGCGAGGGTCCCAGGCCTGTGAGGGAGATGGAAAAGGAACCAGAGATGAATCCTCACTCGAACCCTATCTCCCCTACGTGTGGTGGGGAGACAGGCAAACCTATAACAAACAGTAGTGAAATTCAAGCAAGCTGGATTTTCTCTCTGAACCTCAGGTCGTGGGGACATTTAGGGCAGTGGCTAAGAAATCCCTTAAGGCAAGTTGGTATATGTTTCTGTTTGCTCTGTCCCTCTTTCATGTAACAAATATGAAAGGGCTTCAAAAAATTCTTGGAAAAAATCTTATTATCTTGTCTTTCCTTTTTTTTGTTTTTAACAATCAGTTTAAAGCCCCCTCATCGTTTTAGAACGTAGGCCATGTTCCAGACACTATCCTTAGGCATGAGTGAAACACATAGAAAAACGTGCCCTCGTGGCACTCACATGCTGCCTGAGTTTGAATCCAGGCTCTGCTATTTACACTGCGGTGCAATCTGGGCCAGGTGACTTCACCTGTCCATGCCTAAGTGACATGGGCTAATCACCGTCCCTCCCTCACTAGGGTACTGAGTTACAAGCACAATGCTAGGTGTTAGGGACACAGCAAATGAAGACACACAACAAACACCATGCCCTTGGGGACCTGACTTTCTAGTTGTTGTTGTTGTTAAGTGCCATCGAGTTGGTTCTGACCCATAGCGACCCTGGATGGGGTTTCTGAGGAGCAGATGGTGAGCTTGAACCACCAACCTTGCAGTTCAAACGGCTTTGCAGTCTGGTGCATTAACCCACAGTGCCACACCAGGACTTTCTAGTTGTTGTTGTTGTTGTTAAGTGCCTTCGAGTCGGTTCCGACCCATAGCGACCCTGTACAGGGTTTCCGAGGCTGTAAATCTTTACGGGAGCAGAAAGCCTCATCTTTCTCCCGCGGAACGGCTGGTAGTTTCGAACTGCTGGCCTTAAGGTTCGCAGCCTGATTCGTAACCACTACGCTACCAGAGGACTTTCTAGTAGGGGGCATCAATTAGGAAATCGGGAAATGATGCTTAAGGGGTCTTGGTGGTACAGTGGTTTAAGTATTAGGCTGCTAACAGAAAGTCTGCAGGTTCAAACCCACCAGCTGCTCTGCAGGAACAAGATTAGGCAGTCTGCTCTTTGTAGAGATTTACAGACTCGGAAACCTTAAAGACCAGTTCTACTCTGTTCCATAGGATCACTGCGAGTTGGAATCAACACAATGGTTGTTGTGGGTTTGGTTTGGTTATATAAAGCCTGGGAGAGTATAAAGTGGGAGCAGTTGGCTTTGTGTGATAACCACCAGATCCACAGTTCAAACCCACCAGCTGCTCTGTGGAAGAAAGATGAGGCTTTCTGCTCCTGCAAAGATTTACAGCCTTGGAAACCCTATACAGGGTCACTATAAGTCAGAATCAACTCAACGGTACTTAACAACAAAAAACACACCTGGGGACAGCTTCTGTGACAGGCACTGCCCGGCCTCACATACACAGAAGAGTAAGAGCAGAGACCAAGGCATCCCTGGACTCAGCACCCCCCAGTCCTCCTCCCCCTAGGGCTCACCATTAGGGAGAAGAGAGCCAACAAATTAAATAAATCAAATAACAACACATACACACATGTTGTTAAGTGTTATCGAGTCAGTTCCAACACTTAGGGACCCTGGTGAGTTTGAACCACTGACCTGTGGTTCAAATGGACCTTGTGGTCCAGTGCTTATCCTACAGAGTTACACCAGAAGTCCATATGTAACTCAATAGTGTAATAATAATTACAAAGTGCTCTGGGAAACAAGCCTTTCCCAAAATGCTCTGGGAAATGTGTAAAGTGAGGGAACCTGACCCCAGCTAAGGGGAAGGGTGGGGAGGCAGTCTTTGAACGTGTCCCGAGAAGTGTAATGTTTGAGCTTAAACGATCCACTAAAATCTAACTGCTGCCAAGCCGAGTCCAACTCATGGTGACCCTAGAGGACACAGTCAAACTGACAGGCTAGAACTGCCCCGTAGGGTTTCCAAGTCTGAAATCTTTACGGTGTGGTGCTGTAGGATAAGCACTGGACAAGGAACCACCATGAAACCCACCAGCTGCTCTTCAGAAACCCTATATAGGGTTGCTATGAGTCAGAACCGACTCGACGGCATTTAACAACAAATCTTTACAGAAGTCGACTGCCACATCTTTCTCAATAGTTGACCTTTCAGTAAGCAGCTGAATGCTTAACCACTGCACCACCAGAACTCTTGCTTAGATCTAAAACAAAAAACATAAACAAAAAACCCAAGTCAATTCCAACGCATAGTGACCCCGATAGGACAAAGTAGAACCGCCTCATAGGGTTCCCAAGGCTGTAAATCTTTATGGGAGAAGATTGCCTCATCTTTCTCCTGCAGAGTAGCTGGGCTGCTAAACATAAGGACGGTGGTTCGAGCTCACCAGCTGCTCTGTGGAAGAAAGATGAGGCTTTCTGCTCCTGTAAAAATGTACAGCCTCAGAAATCCTATCCAGGTTGACTATGAGTTGGAACTGATTGGCTGGCACTTAACAGGTTAAACAAGAATAGAAAGATTTCCAAAGGTAGCCAAGAATAAGGAGGTTAAGGCAGCTGCAACCCCAGTCTGGTCAGGCTCCAAAGTATAATCATATGTAGCCTCCGGAGACCTAGGCTCGGGTCCGGGCTTGGCCTCCACCCACAAGTGTGGTCTTGGTAAGCCATGTCTCCCCAGGGCCTCACTTTCCCCAGCAGAGCCCACAATGTTCCTGAGAGGAGAGAGGGCTACTAGTTCTCACCAAGTGCCTTCAGGCACAGAAAGCCCCCCACTGCCTCCAACCAGCCATGGGGGTACCTCCCAGGACAAAGGGGGGCCCCAGGCTCTTTGCACACCTAAGCTGCTACTTACCCAGGGACTCACTTAGGTCCAAGACGTGGGTGCTGGGATCTTGCTGACTCCCTACAGCTGGTCCTCCAGCCAGGAGGAAACTCTGTAGGAGGGGACAAAGCCACTGTGAAGGTGAAGTTCATTGCCACTGAGCTGTCTGGTCAAACGTACTGGGCTGGATGTTGCTAGAGGGCATTTTGTTAATGTGATTAATGTGAATAAACAGTTGATTCTTAGTAAAGGAGATGATGTGGGTGGGCCTTGTGCCAAAACTGAGGTTTCTGAGAAAAAAAATCAGCCTGGAGAAACACACACACATATTATCTAAAAGTGGTGTAAATGGTTAACACACTTGGCTAGTAACCAAAAGGCTGCAGGTTTGAGTCCACCCAAAGAAACCTCAGAAGAAACGTCTGGCAATCTATTTCTGAAAAATCAGTCATTGATAACCCTATGGAGTGCAGCTCTTCTCTGACCACATGGGTCAGTGTTAACCGGATGGCGCATGGTGTTACTGGTCTCTCTCTTGCTCCTATTTGTTTTGCCTGAAGATCTCTAATACCATCACCTTCATCATCATCATCATCATCACCAACACCCAAGTAGGTACGATGATGATGCAGTGGCTAGGGCACCACGGGGAGACTTTAGTTAGGGCTTTGTGCCAGACACCCTATATGTATTTCTCCTTGTCCCCTTCTTTCCCCTCTTCCATGCCACAGAGGCTGGCCTGCATGATCCACATCAGCATGTGACCTCACGCTGTGTGCTCTGAGTTCTGCACATTGAAGGCACCTACTATGTGTGCTTAATGGACTGCAAAGCCCTTTCCTATCTCTTACCTGAGCCAGAAAATCAAAGCCCTAATCTTAGTTGGACCACTGATCTTGTATGTGACCTTTAGGTAGCCCCTGAGCCTCTCTGGGCCTTGGTTTTCCCATCTATAAAATAGTTTTAAGCCTATTCAATTTGGAGGGCCAGAGAATCCCACCAATCTCCAAACATACCAGACTGATGGGAGGGAGCAGGAAGTATTCGGGCTCTGAGCTGGAGAGACGCTTGGGGGGTCTCACACCTAGTAGTTCCACTCCTTCGTCCTCGTCCTCTGGGCGCTGGGCCAGGGTCCTGGAGTAAAATAGTCAGGAATCTCAAGTCAGGAAACCTGGACAGGTATGGGTACCAACGTAGGCAGGAAATGAGCATTCATTTGCTCTCCAAACACTTATTTATTTTTCTATTCATACACCCACCAAAGCATTCATTCATCCATCTGCATATCATCCATCCATTACCCATCCAGCATTCACATAGCAGTCTATCCTATACATCATCCATCTGTCCAAGTATCTGCCAATCCATAGTCTCATTCTTCCATCCGATGATGCATCACCTACTCACCCATCCAATCTCTCATCTGTCTTGTGTTCATCTATCTGCACACCGCCTCTCTCTTCCTCCCTCTATCCATCTACCCCACCAACTCACCCATCTTTCCATCCACCGCCTATATTCACTAATTCCTCCTTCCTTCATTTAATAAGTATTTATTAAGCCACTACTATATGCTCAGCCTCAAGCTAGAAGCCTTGCAAGACACCAAGATGTCTCCATAAATGCTTCACAAGGATAGTAAAGAGATTACTTCTGGAGCCTAGATGAGCACATGCCTACAACTGGGAGAATAAAAACATGAGTATTAATAATACAATGTCTTTGAAAGGAGCCTTGGTAGCATAGTGGGTTACGACTTGGGCTGCTAACCACAATGTCAGCAGTTCGAATCTACCAGCTACTCCACCACAGGAGAGAGATGAGGCTTTCTGCTCCTGTAAAGATTTACAGCCTTGGAAACCCTATGCAGGGTGGCTATGAGTCAGAACTGACTCGATGGCACACCACCACCACCATCACCAATGTCTTTGGAAGGGGAACGTGGACCCTCTGAAATTATGTGCAAACTTCTGAATCTGTGTGCATTTGTAAGTTTTGGCAGGGGGAAGTCTATAGCTTTCATCAGATTCTCAAAGAGTTAGGAAATCCAGTTGTAGACAGTTTCTCCAACATTGTAGCAATATTCTCTTAGCTGTTAACAACAACTGTCACCAGATCAGAGTTATAAATTGCATTGTGTCCCCTGAAAAGATACCGAATTCAACTAGGAATGTGACTCAGCTTGGAAATAGGGTCTTTGAAGATGTTATCAGTTAACATGAGGTCATAAGTAGGGCGGGTCCTAATCCAATATGGCAGGTGTCTTTTATAAAAGAGAGGTGGTGGTTATGCGCCATGGAGGGGGTTCTAACTCATAGTGACCCTGTATAGGGTTTCCAAGGCTGTCAATCTTTACTGGAGCAGACAGCTTCATCTTAGCCTCATCTTTCTCCTGAGGAACAGCTGGTAGTTTTGAACTGCTGATCTTGAGGTTAGCATCCCATCTCGTAACCATTACACTACCAAAGCTCTTGACAGACACAGAAATGCAGAAGGAAGACAGCGGTGTGATGGCAGAAGCAGAGCCACAGACCAGGAATGACAAGGATCGTCAGCCATCACCAGAAGCTAGGAGAGGTGTGAAAGATCTTCTTCTTTAGAACCCTCAGAAGGAGCCGATAACCCTGATATTGGACTTCAAGTTTCCCAAACTGACACAATAAATGTCTGTTCTCACAAGCCACCCACTTCATGGTACTTTGTTACTGCAGTCCTGAGAGGGTTGGTAAATCACTGGTAGAATTCTTCCCTCCATGTGGGAGACTGGAGTTCCATTCCTAGCTGCTGCACCTTATCGGGTGCAGACAACTCCGTCACTGGGGGCTTGCAATGTTACTATGATGCTGACCAGATTTCAGCTGAGTGATGGGCTAGGAAGAAACATCTAGAGATCTACTTTTGAAGATCAGTCAATGAAATGTCTATGGACAATGACAGTCTGATCAGGCACCAATCATGGGGGTGACTCAGGACCAGGCCCCATTTTGTCTCATTGTGCATGGGGTTGTCATAAGTACAGGTCGACTCGGCAGCAGTAAATAACAATCAGAAACAGGCAGATATAAATACACTCCCAAGGACAGAACCCTGGATGGCCAGTGGGATTTGGATGAACAATGAAAACATGGAGGGCAATCTAGAAGGGTGGCAGAGCATAGGCAAAGACTTGGAGGTTGGGACAAACCCGGCATGTGCTGGGATCCTATGGGTTTGGTTGAAGCAGAGGTCAGGATAGGAGAAGAGTTATTGGTAAGGCTGGGATACGAGGCCAGGGCAAAAGAGAGGGCAGGGGTCTTTTCTATAGTCCCTGGATAGCCCCCCTTTACTGTGGCTCACCTCTTCCGAGCCCCAGCCATGGGGGAGGGTGCTGAAGGGTCTCCTCTGGAGGGGCTGGAGCAGCTCAGCCGGGGGTCACTTCCCCAGCGGGGCAGCAGAGAGGGCTCAGGGGTTGGGGGTGACAGGCCGTGGAAGCTCCGAGCACGGGGCCGGGGGACCGCCCCTGGAGGTCTGTGGTGGGCTCTGGGTAGCTGCTCGCTGGAGTTGAGCTGGAAGTCGTCATCCATAGAGATGTAGGGGGCCAGCATCTCCAAATCCAGAGCATTGACGTCCTGCGGAGGGCAGGAGGGGGTTAAGAGCAGGAGCCTTGAGCTAGGGTGGGCCTGGGCTGGAGTCCCGTTCTACCACTTCTCAGCTGGGTGTCTGAGCTTCAGTTTCCTCATTTGTAAAATGGGGGCAAGGACTTGGTGGTAGCCAGTCACCAATAAGTACCTCAAGGCTCCCTTACCACAGTGACCTGTATAGTGTGGAAAAAATGATGTGTGATTCCGAGATTAGGCTATAAAATTCTGTCTCTGTCTCACGCTGTCTCTCTTTTTCTCAGATCGCTTGCTCTGGGAATATCATGCCATATCATGCATGACTAGCCCTGTGAAAGACTCACAAGGCAAGAAACAGAGGACTCTAGCTATTAGCCAAGTGCATGACATTGGAAGTGGCTCACCTAACTCAGTCACGTCTTCAGATGACTGCAGACCCAGGTGACATTTTGACCGCAAGCCCGAACTACCCAGCTATGTGGCTCCCAATCCATTGACCCTTAGAAACAGTGTGTGATACTAAGTGCTTGTTGTCTTAAGTTGTAAAATTTTAGGGTAATTGGTTATCTAGAAATAGTTAATTCATCAGACTCTGGTATCAAGAGTGGGGTGCTAAGGAAAACCTGAAGTATGGGAGTGGCTCTGGAACTGGACAGGGACTGAACGACTTTGAAGACCATGTTAGGGAAAGTGTAAATTGCCTTGAACTGACTATCAGTCAAACTCGGAACTCTGAGGAGGCTGTCAGTGAAGGCTTTCAAGGGAAGTTAAGAAACATGCTATTGGGAACCAGAGAGAAAGCAATCCATGTAGTGGTTGAAAGCTTAGCAACATTATTAACTGCTACTACATGGAAAAAAAGGAGCTCTGGTAGCGTAGTGGTTACGAATCGGGCTGCAAACTGCAAGGTCAACAGTTCTAAACTACCAGCCGCTCCACAGGAGAAAGATGAGGCTTTCTGCTCCCGTAAAGATTTACAGCCTCGGAAACCCTGTACAGGGTCGTTATGGGCTGGAACCGACTCAACAACACTTAACAACAACAACTACATGGAAGGAGTCCTGGTGTGGCATTGTGGGATACGCACTGGACTGCAAGGTCAGTTTGAACTGAAAGGTTGGCGGTTCAAGCTCACCGGTAGCTATGAGTTGGAACCGACTTGACAGCACTTAACAACAACTCCTATGAAGAAAGAAAGAAGCTATAGCTAAGGAGATTCCCAGCCAGATGGTGGAGGAGTTGCTTAATCGCTTCTTGCTATGTGGCACTGTAAGGTCAGCGCTAGACTGTGAACCACAAGGTCGGCAGTTTAAACCCACCAGCTGCTCCTCAGAAACCCTATACAGAGTCACTATGAGTCAGAACCAACTCGACAGCACTTAACAACAGTAAACAGAGTAAAAGACAAGAGGAAAGAGAGATTCCTAAAGGAAGACTGTTAAACATGAAGGAACTCGGATACGAAAGCTTTGAGAATTCTCAACTTTCTCAGATGGTAAATGAGGCTAAAATTAAGAAACCATGTCAGCAAAGAAGCTTACGGTAAAGAAAGCATGACCTAACAATGAAACCTAGGGTGTGGTTGTAAAATTCCTCAGAAAGATCAAAGGTGGTGTCTCAGACAATGCTTTAGTCAGACAAAGGTTCTCCAAAGAGTTTAAGCAGACTCTGTCAATCATATGGCTTCTAATAAATTGAAGGGTATTGTCACTTCGGCCCAAGGTGGAGATTTATGGGTGTGGTTTTTGTCTAATTAAGTTGAACTCCAAAAACATTCACAGGAGACCTACAAAGTTTTTTAAGAGAATTGGTATCAGCAGAGACATTGCCAATGCATACTGAAAGGAGCAGATGTTACACAACATGAAAAGAGGCCTTTGGATCACGTAACTTCTACAAGTACAAAACAAGATGAGAAAACCACTCAGCTATAAATATATTACCTTTTATGAGAAAGGAAGGAAGACTCAGAATGAGGAAATTAGAAAGCAAAACCAAGAGCCACAGAGAACAACTCCATGTTTTAGTAGGAAGCAAAAGAAAGGCATTCTAATAAAAAAAATTCCCAATATTTGTCCAGCTGGATTTGAAAATTGTCAGTTGACAACTGTATGCTTCAACTTTCCCCCCTTTTGGATAGGAGGGTTTACGGCGGTTATTCTATGCCTGCCCCACCACTGTATGTTGGGTATATGGGTGGCAGATAATTTGTCTCACTAGTTGATGGGCCTACAAATTGAAAGGAGCTATACTTGAAGAGTTTCATGTGCACCTGAATCTGATTTAAATGACGATACAAGTAAATGCTAAATTTGGGTGTGGTGCGGTACTTTTGGAGGTCTTGGTGGGGATGAATATTTTGAATCATGGGGGGGCTCCCAATGATCTCTCTCTGCATTTTAGTATTATGTAGGCAACAATTATAAGGTTGGCCCAGGATTGGGCAGTGAGTGTTTCATTTCTGTTGTGCATAGGGTCGCTATGAGTCGGTACCGACTCGATGGCACCTAACAACAACAACAACAAACCACACTGTACTGAGTTGGTCTGTGTGACCAATACAATGTACCAGAAGTGATGTACTGTATCTTCTGGATTGGGATTTCCTATTTTTTTTTAAATTACTAGCTCTAGGGAAAACCAGCCACCATGCTGTGAGGATACTCAGCCTATACAGAGGTCCATGTGGTAAGGAACTGATGCCTCCGGTCAAAGCAGCAAGGAACTGAGACCTGCCAACAACCACGTGAGTGAGCTTGGAAACAGATTCTCTAGCCACATAGGACGGTAGCCCTGGCTGACAGCTTGACTTCAAACTCATGAAAGACCCCGAGCAAAAAACCACTCCAGGTGACTCCAGGTTCCTGTCACAGAAACTGTGTGATGTCATCAATGTTATAAGCTATTAAGATTTGGGCTGATTTGTTATACATCAATAGATAACTAATACATTATGTCACTGCCATCGATCTGTCTAGTCCATTAATTAATTATCCATCCATCCATCCATCATCCATCCAATGAACAATGGTCCATCCATCCAAATATTCATTCAAACATTCATCTAAGTATCTATCTAAACATCTATCATCGTCTACCTAATGAATCAATGGCCCATCTAGTCAACTATCCATCCATTCATCCAATGGTCTACCTATTCAACTATCTAGCCAAGTATTCATCCATTCATTCAAATGTCTAAACATGATCCATCTAGCTACCATTATCCATCTCATGAATCAATGATCCTTCTAGCCAACTATCCAGCCGTCCATTCACATCCAATGATTCCACCACCCTTTCCTCAAGTCCAGATATGTCAACCCAAGAGGCACAGAGGTGAAGACCATTGTTTCCATCCTGTTCCTTACCTGAGCTATGTCTAGATCTGTCTCCACTGCCTCAGGGTCTTTCCCAGAGGCAAAGAGTTTGTGTGATTTCTCCACATCCACAAGTAACTCATTGGGGAGATCAGCCTGTGGGGAGACAGAGTGGAGACTTTAAGAAGTCTTGAGCCTGAGGGATGTCAACTGTCAGATAGTCTGGACATTTTGAGCTCAGGGTCAGGAGTGGGGGTCAAACGGACCTCTGAGGTCAAAGGAAAAAATATGTTAACTTCCATAACCTATGGAGCACCTATTTGGGGCCACGTCCCTCCTTAATGTTTGACCATGAGTGACCTTTTTAAACTTCACAACAACCAATGAAGTGGTTACTTGTTATAGTCACAGTTTTGTGTTTTCTTGACTGAGCCAGGATTCTCAGTGGCACCAAGATGAGCTCTGCTATGAGCAGCCAATCAGTTGAAAGGAAGCTTCCTTGGGGGTGTGGCCTGCTTCCAATATATCAGATGCTCAGGCAAAGCGTGTTTGATCGTCGCTGGGTCTGGATCATGCATCAGTCTGGCTCATCCTCTGACCTCCAGTTCTTTGGATTTGAGCAAGTGGTCTGCTCTATTAACCTGTGGATCCTGAGAGTCACCAGCAGCCTGCTTTCTTACCTGCCTGCTTGCTGTCTGACCTGCAATCTTGTTTCATCAGAAGAAGTCTCCAGCCTAGTAGGCGGACCCCGGACTCCGTACCTGCCCACCTCTACAACAGTCTGAGTCATTTCCTTGACATAAATTTCACTTTATCGATAATATATAAGCTTCAGTGGCTTTGTTTCTCTAGAGAATCCAGCCTAGGACATTTGTTACTATCCTCATTTTACAGGTGAAGAAACTGAAGAATTCACTTGCCCACAGTGACATAGTTGATAAGTGTCAGATTCTGGATTTGAATCTAGATCTGTAACAAATACCTCAGGTGGGGTCCACACTCTAAAATTGTAATGATTGAAGAATCTGGAACCCCAGGTCCCATCTCATCCCAACCTTCCCATTACACAGCTGGGGAGAGTCCAAGTTCAAGCCAAAGAGAGTCCGGATCCTGAGGAATCCAGTGGCTGGGACTGCTTACCGGAAGAGGGCTCTGGGGACGCCGTGCAGCTGGAGGTGTGCTAGGGGTGGCGGCTGCTGAAACCCCATCCAGGATGGGTGCCAGGAGGCGGCGGAGGTCAGGGCTACAGAAGCGACGTGGGTCAGCGGCCAGGGCAGCCTCGCTCAGGGCTGGGGGATGCAGGAAAGCCAGGATCCGCGGACCATGAGTGTCTGCAGGACATGTAGAGGTGAAGAAAACATGGGGGTGGTCCACTCCAGCCCTCCATTAGCAACCCCAGAGTTGACATCTCCAACCACCAATCAGGATGGACACCAAATATCAACAGACAGTCTAGACATTTCAGTTCCGGGATTCCACAGATGGGACACAAAGAGGGTGTAAACCATTCTAGGTGCTGCCGGGACAGTTCTGGAGAGGCCCCTATTGGGCCAGGTATTAACCCTTTGGTTGTCAGATTGTGGAAAAGTCCCAGAGGGTTCTGGGAGAAGGGAGGGGATGGTACCCAGTTGACAAAGACAGCCATATGGTGTGGTGTGGTGTTGTTGTTGTTGTTGTTAAGTGCCATCGAGTCGGGTCCGACCCATAGCGACCCTGTACAGGGTTTCCGAGGGTGTAAATCTTTACGGGAGTAGAAAGCCTCATCTTTCTCCCGCGGAGCGGCTGGTAGTTTCGAACCGCTGACCTTAAGGTTCGCAGCCCGATTCGTAACCACTACGCTACCAGAGCTCCTTATATGGTGTGGTAGAGCTTCCATATTTAAAAACAATACAGCTGTTGTTTTGGGGTGCCATTAAGTAAACTTTCTACTCACAGCTACCCCGTGTGACAGAGCAGAACTGCCCCATTGGGTTTCCTAGGCTGTCATTTTATGGGGGCAGATTCCTAGGTCTTTTCTCCTGAAGAGCCGCCGTTGGGTTCAAACCACCAATCTTTCTGTTAGCAGCCGAAGACTTACTGTTACGTCACCATGGCTGAACCCTGTTGTTTCAGCTGCACAGAAGTAGGGGGCCTGCAGGTTAGATGAATGGGCTGGTCCAAGCCCTCAAGGGGATTCTAAGGTTAAAAAGTGGCTCCAAATTTGGGAAGGGTGATAGTTGAATAAAATTATGAATGTATTTAATGTCACTGAAATGTACATGTGACAACTCATGAAGTAGCAAGCGTTTTGTTACCTGTACTCGTATATTTACTACAATAAAATAAGAGAAAAATTTCAATACAATGATAACAAAAGAAAAAGAAGCGGCTCGATGCTAGAAAGAAGAGGTAGCACCATCCCCTTCTCACACCCAGGCCCAGCTGCCAGCAACAGCAAGAGAAGTAGGACCTTAATGGACAAATAGGGACACATTAGGGGGAGAAGAAGGAAGAGATGGAAGGAAGTTAGATTTGCAAGAGTTACAGGGATAATGGGAAAACAGAGTAGAGAGGTAGGAGAGGGGAATCAACTGAGGGATGGAGGCAATGGGGAGCCATAGCAGGCTCTAGAGCAGAGGGTGACAAGAGCCTGAAGCAATCATCCCAGGAAGGCAGCCCACCCTGGCCTGACCATTCCATACCGAGGTGGTTCCCAGGGCTGGGGGTGTCCTTCTGAGAGGTCGTGGCCCGATGAACTGGTCTGCGAGAGTGTCGCTCCGTCTGCTCCAGGGAGAGCACCACTCCTGTCTCTTCCACCCGGCTGGGGTACAGGGCAGAGAGGGGAGCAGGAGTCAGGGAGAGGCTGTCCTGAGGACCCTCCCAGGTAGTCCCCTTGCTTGTGGTCCTGTCACAAGACACAACCTCATCCTGGAGCCGGAGGGTAGTTTTTTGGAAAAATAATTTGCCACATTACCCTTGTTTATCTTAAGGAGGTTGCTTTTTTGTTGCCGATTCTTCATTACAATAGCATTTCTTAAAAAGTGAAGTGTGTTGCTTCCCAAGCTCCCTCTATTGAAGGGAAGACTGAGAAAAGGGTACTTAGCACCAGGGTGAGGAATGGGGAGGGAAAACTGAGAGGAAGAGAGAAAAGAGGTCCTGAGGAGCAAAGAGCAGGCACCAAGGGACAGAGAGAGGGAAGACTGTG